TAAAATTATGTTTTACCTCATCTGATGATGATAAAACCGAATTCATAAGATCAGATTCATTATGTTGAAATGCCATCTAATTAATAAAATAAAAATTACAACATTATTACAGTTTTTCAAAATTCTATATCACATCGCCGAATATTTTTCTCGCAAATATTAATGGTCCGGAACCGACGTCTTCCGATTGCGATCGTCGTGCCGGTGAAACCAACAAAAAAATAATCAGATGATCAAAAATGAAACTCATCTAATCAAAATTTACCGTATAATCCAGAAAAAAATTTTTATATAAAGGTCGTAAGATATAGAATTTTGAAAAACTGACAATTGAATTAAATTTGGTTACAGTTCTATAGCAAAATTTGACATCGTCAAATTTTTTTTGAGTTAAAAATCATCGACTTTATATAAGTCAAAGGAAGAAATATTTGCCTTTTTATTGATAAATTTTATTATTTTGTCATTCCACATGTTGTTTCAGGTAAATTAATAATTTAAAATCTACAAACATGTTCAGATTCTTTGTTTTATTTTATAAGCTATATGAAGCTAACACGTGTAAAATATGAAAAGTTGAATTTTAATATATGAAGAACATGTGGCAATTAATTCTTCTTTACGTTGTAGTAAATTATCTCTGAAAGGTGATGACTTTATAATTCTTCCTAATTCGTTTAAGAATGATAAAAAATTTCATTTGAAATTTTAATAATGAACCTAAAATAGAAAAATTCAATAAAATTCAAAAAGTATTGAAAATCAAATAAATAAAGTAGTTGCTTGGAAAGAGACTTCTTGTTAAGAGAATCGCTAGCATTGTATAAATTTTTTAGTGTCGTTCAACATATCGGAATTTCATGCTAAATTGAAATATCGCATAAAGTGATGTTCTTGAAGGGCCATTATTTAATTCGCACAATTAATGGACAAACAAAAAAAAATATTTTATTTTCAATATAAATGAAACAAGGACAAAGACGCGATTTTATGTAAAATCTAAAAAAAAAAAAAATAATATGAATAGCTAATTTATTCGTCGTAATTAAAAAAAAATGCATATTAAATATATTAAATAAATTTCATAACATCATGTGATTGATTACAGAGATCGTCATGTCATGTAATAACTATATATGTAACTCAAAAAAAGTAATTTGTCATATCGTGGGAATTATTTATTTGTTTACTATAATTAACTACTACAAAGCCTTGTCTTCTTTTTTTCTTAAATTATTCGGATATTGCATTATTAATGGTTATGTAATTTTTTCGAAGCAAATAAAAAAAAAAAAAGAATGGGATCAAAATAAAATAAAAAATCAAATTAGTATTAGCGTGTTTGTCTGGTTGGTCCAAATTGTGATACAAAATGTAACAGCATAAACTGATTTGTTCATACTAAAAGATCACAGCTTAGATATATGTATATATATGGTAATAACATTCTGTCGTTCGTCGTTCGTCGTTCGTATAACTTCAACAGGTCGATATATGCTGTTCAACTTTTTACTTTTTTTTTTGCCAATCAATTATTCGGCTCGGCTCTAAAAAGTCACAGACGATCCGATCCGAAATTGGCCCGAATTGTTTACTATCAACAAACCCCCCAAAAAAGGGTAATTCCTTCAAATGTCGGAAAATCATACTCCGATTTTGACTTAACATCATTTATAATAAATTCAATTCTTAGGAATTTTTTATTATATATTTTTTTTTTTTATTTCCTTATTGAAGAAAGAAGGGTGAAAAAAGATCATACGTACGTATAGAAAATATAAATACCAAAGATTATTAATATTAATTTGATACTTGGAAAATTAGGTCATACGTTTTCTCTTGTTTTTAATCCTTTGGCGAAAAAAACTTCTTTGGATGAACGATTTGTTCATTTTAACACGTGTATATAATTATCAAACAGATTTATCAAATTTTTTCTCGTAATGCACAAATATTCGACTTCTGCGATCATATATATATCATTAAATGTCTTAAGTTTATTATTATCAACATTTCTTATCGTCAAATTATACGTATCACCTAATCACTTTACAAAATATACTCAATTCCAATTATTTGTAGCATCATGGGGATATACGGTGGGGCTTACACCAACAATAATAAATTATGGGGATGACTTAATGAATAAAGCATATGATACGCAAATTTGTATAATTCAACAGATGATATCTTTAATATTTTTGTATCCTTTATACATATTTCCGGTGATATTAGGATTATATATTTGGCATGCGGCTGAAAATAGAAACATAAAAATAGAGAAGAAATATTTTTGGATCATTTCAAGTCTAATTTGGTGTTTCGCAGTTTGTTTTAATGTGTTTTCATTTGCTGACGGGTATGAGAAGAAAAATTTTGGCGTACGCGCCACACCGTTGCTTTGCAAGCCTCCAAATTCTAAATTTCATCAAATATCATATTTAGTAATAGTTTCACCTTTATTCTTTATAGCACTTGTATTCACTTGTAAGTGAAAAAAATTACAAAATATATATTTTGAAACCATTTTGATTTATCATAAATTTATTAATCTCTTTTTTTTTATTTTTTTTTTAAAAAAAAAAAATGCATGTAGGCTTTGCAAGTGCAATATTATGGAAACGTTGGCGGCATTACTCGGCAAAAAGAAATCGTTGGACGGTATTAAGATATGGTCACGCACTGCGTTTATTCATGTGCGGCCTCATGTACACGAGTTTTATCGGGATTTCTTTATTATCAAGGATCATATCTCAATACGTAATTAAATCGGAGCATCCCGAAATTAACAAGATAGTCATTGAAGATTATGTTCAACCATTGAGGTATGTATTTGACTTAGTTATTTAATAAATTGATAATCTCACCTTATCCAAATTAACTTGGCGTAAAATTATTTTTTTTTTATTTAATTTCCTTTTTTTCCCTATTTTCGTATTACAAGTGGGATAATGTTATTTCTGATCTTTGTTAAGAATGATTCTCCGGCTGCATTTCTGCCATGCCTTTATTATGGAGGTCCAGAAAAGTTAACTTTTAAATCCGAATCATATTTTAGAGATGATCGAATCTTAGACGTAAGACCACCATCACTTAATTATTCGTTTAATGAAGCACTTGGCAACGTAAATCAGACACCAATGGTTGCTAGATCTACTGATAATCAAGAGATTGATACAATTGAAATTTTGTTAAGTTAGTAGATATCTCATTTAAATGCATGTAAATATTTAATATTATGAAATATTCATCTGTATATACAGTATCTTATCAGTTATGCTTCAATAAAATAAAATTCTTTATATAGTATTTAATGACCACGAATACTTTTGTTAGGTTAATATTCATTTTGTTTTGTTTCAATTATACTTTCAATTTTGCAAAAAAAAAAAACAAATCAAATGTTATTTGGACTCGTGATATTTGTTTCAGTGGTGGTGTTTTAAACAAAGGGGTTTAATGATGATTTACATACTATGCAATTTTTGTGTAACAAACTTTGAATCAGCTGTTTGTCACATTAATTAATATACGCGACAATAATACATTGACAAGATAAATTAAAACAATTAATGACAGCATCTTTTAAAAGACGAGTTTAATTGATGTTTCTACTACTATTAGAAACCAATCGCGGAATCATCCTATTCATCAAATTTTACAATGACTCGAGCACTTCCTCGCGGAAATCATTCATTTGTTTTATCAATGATGCATTATTAAATTCACTTTCCAGGTTTGTTATTATTAAACATAAATTTTTTACAAATTTAAAAACCAATTATCCAATGCTTATAAAAAAAAATAGTCTTAGCAAAGTACTGTTATTATGATAACAATTTATTTGTACTTAATTAAAGAAAATTGAAGTAATTATGACGCTAAATTTATTTAATAAAATCAATTAATCAGTGTTGCCTCAACGTCGGTGCTCTATACTTTCGATTTATTAAATTTAATGCTAAATGCTAATTAATTAAAACTACGCAAAATACAAAATATAAAAAAAATAAGAAAGATCGGAATTTAAAATAAACGAAGTTACAACGTTATGAATAATGAAGTTAAAACGGCGAAAGTAAAGGAGAAAGGAAGGGTTTAAGGTATATTATGCAAAAGAAGGGAAGGCGAACGATATGTTCTTCCAAAGAACTCCGAATCCCAGCATATATAAAAGATTTAATTAGAACAAACTGCTACCCTACATGTTCGAAATTGATCTACAGATTTGGCAAAAGCAATTTATGGACGAAGATTTTGTCTCTTCGAGCAAAACTATATTAAATGTAAACAGTACTTATTATTTCATTGTAAATTTCGATATTAAGAGCGCGTGAATGCTGTGATCGAGTTATGAATTATCTGCCCAATTTTTAAATTGACTAGTTTAGATACCTAATTTTTTATTTTAATTTTTTAAAAAAGTACAACTTGACACGTGAGTAATTTGGTCATATTAGAGCTTGCGTGAGAATGAGTCAAAATAATCAAATTCAAATAAATCTTTCGATAATGTCGGCCAAAATTGAGTAGTGGTTTGGGACTCCAAATCATGATTTTTATGAATCGATCGATTGACTGCGGTATTTTTTATAAAACACTTCACATTATTATTTTTAATATCAAAAAGGCTTTTGTTATATTAAAAATAAAATAGAACATTCAATAATCCAGAAATTACCTGAACAGAAATCATAATTCAGACCTTTAAGCCTATAAAATCTTTAATATACTGTATTTCACAGTAGCATCACCAGTATTTTTGTCTGGATGTACAGTTGGTGCTTTTTATTTTTTTAAAAAGTCACGGGATTGCCGATCATTTTGTATAGAGTTCTCGAAAAATATGTGAAATCAGAGAATTTTAATTTTATAATTCTATTAAACATGTTTTAATAATTATTTCATGTTTTCAAATATGATAAATTAAGAATGTTTGATAAGGATAGGATTATAATAAAGTTTTTTTAGGTTCTATTAAACACATAAATGACAAATATAATAAAAATCGTTGGAAAATCTCAATACGAAAGGCATCTTAATTAAATATTTGTCATTTTAAATTTGAACGATGCTTTTTCCAAATTTCCCATATTTCACCTCCGTATAAGCTGCGACATATTAATCCTTCGTCGCACAATGTAGCTTTTTTTTTTTTTTTTTTTTTTTTTTTTTAACCGATCAATGAGATTACTTTGTTTGGAAAACCGACATTGACAAAAAATTATCTTAAGCTTCGTAAATTATTTCGATACCAGATTCTTTTGGATTTAATATTTGATGATTTAAGATTTAGTCAGTATATACAACGAGTGATAAAATACTTGTAAGGATTTGTACGTATATACTACGAGCTTTATTTTATTACAAAGAAGTTATAAGATCAATATATTAATAAGTAATATGGTCGTTTTACTATTAACATCACGGATTTATAAGTTTTGTGAGGAAGTTTGCATAATAATTTAACAACACTGTAAATACAATTATTACATAATTTGATTTATGAAGTGTAAATGATTTATATGTTTCGAAAATGAACGAAGAACGTAAAAAAAAGCGCGTGATAAACATCGTATCTGACTGAACTGTGCCCTTTTTTCCTAATAACGAGAGAATAAAATGCAAGTAAAAAATTAAATTGTTATTTTCTCCTTTTTTACATTTTTTACGTTTAAAAGGCTGAGAAAATCCGATAAAGGGAATTAATGACGATTAATATAAATTACCTTTTCATGAATCGATATATCATGATAAGAAACTGAATTTTCTAAATTTTCAAATTTAACTTTTCTATGACGCCAAATCGACTAGATAATTCAGAGTATTTGATTGATGGATTGGTATCTAAGCATTCAAAAATTAATTTAGAATATAAAACTTTTACCTTAATCCATAGCAGATTCCTTGAACAAGTTGTAAATCATAATAAGGGTATACACCGGCTGAAATATCCACTTTATCATGCCTAAACTGTAAATTTAGATTCCTTTGTTGGCGTATTTCCATTAAAAAAATTTCCGAAACAACAAAAGGTATTACTCCATAAATTTTTTGTGATGGTTTATCAACCGGACCGTGCAAACCATAATCCGCAATTCTAGTATCTATTGAATCTGCTTCGTTTTTAACTAAGATATTTCTTCCATGTAATTGTCCATGAATGAGATAAGTTTCATGAATAACAACATTAAGACTAGCTGTTATGAACCATAACATATCTACTATATCTCTCCAGAAAAGAAGCCCGGTTGAATGTTCAAGATATTCAATGTAACTTGATGTCGAAACCTTGGTCATGTCAAAACAACCATCCAGCCAAAGCGAAAACGTAGTCTTTATAATTGTTTCTAGTGAAAATTTAAAAATAAATAAAAAAAAAAGAATACCCGAACTACGTGTCTTGGAAAGTCTCTGAATCCATTTTAAATTTATTTATAAAGGTCTTTTTATATATATATATATATATACAGTGGTGTGCAAAAAAAATGAACTTTTTTAAAATCACGATAGGTTCACAAGTATTGCGTCAATTAAAATG